CCGTAAATTGGCCTCTGATGTCACTCTGTTATTGAATCATCTAATAAGAAAGAACCTTCTTTTAACTAGGCGTAATTGTAAAATTTTCTCTGTTGTAAAATTATAAATATTGCTATTTCTTGACAAAAAAAATTCGACTGATTTTCAAACAATCAGATACTCAATAGCAATTGATTATTAAATCAAATCGAAACAATTTATGCATAATTAGGTGTGAACGATTCTTTCAGACAGTGGTTTATGGTCTAAACAAAGCGCGGTTACAAATGTTTTACGACAACATAGCGAAGTGCAGAGAAGAATTGGGCGACACGGCGAGTGAGTGATAAAATCCGAAGCACCGAAAGTATTTTCAAAGTGTTGGTTAAAATGTGACATAAAAGTAAAACAAATTATAATAATATAACAAACAATTATAATAATATAATAATAAAATTTCGTAAATATATGAATATTAGATAACGACCTATGTAGATACTGAAATTTACGGTATCTCTTCCTATAATCAGGAAGAATATTACTATTCTGTACTATTAACAATATTTCGTGTTTGCTAGGAAAATACTCTTAAAAGATTCGCGTTTGTAATAAAAAAAACAAACTTTTAATGGTCAACTGATTCCGGTTCATTACAACACATTTAAAATAAATTCGAAATATTGCAATTAAGCAATCACATATATTAATTGTGTTTTACAGCTGAACTCATGGTCGGAACAATTATATGTGCGTTAGAGAAAGATGGCCAGGTTTGTATATTTTTATTTAAACGCAAGATATATATATTTGTATTTAGTAAACATAGCCTTAATATGCAGTATAATTAGACTCGTGAGCGTTGCGAATATATTCGGGATGTGACAATATATAACAAAGATTAGCTATTCATGGAAAGACTATTTTACATAACTCAGTAAGCAAGAAACTTTAAATTAATCTTTTGAAACATTGATTTTATATGGATCTTATGGACATTTCAATATAATATTTTATAAATATTTAAAAACTGATACTTGATATTATATTCTTAAACATTAAAATCATAGTATAGAAACATCATTTTTAAAGTTTCGATCAAATATTGATAATAATGACGTTGTGTGCAGCATTAAGAGCTACATATTTGAAAACGTTATATATTATAAAATATCATTGTAATAACGTTGCGTTTATGATTTCTTGCTAACTGGGAACAATGATACATTAAAAATAATAAGTTTAATTTTAACGATTTTATAATACGACGAAATTAGGAACTAGAAATGTCATATATTTTCTATATACTGTAATCTATTCCAGATCTTTAACTCTAACGGTGAGTACATAAAGGATGCATCAATGCAGGCACTGGAAGACTCTATGTCCGACGCAAACACATTGGAAAAAGTACAAGGGATGTTCACCAAATGTTACGATGATGGTAATCAATTTTGTTGCCGTCTCGAAGAATAATTTTTGCAATTACTGAATTTCCTTCTAATTGCAGCGGTTCAAAGTGGATCCACCGGTCGGGAACAGACGATGAAAATTAGCAATTGCGTCTTGCCGTTTGTGTCTCTCTTTGACAAGCTATAGTGAAAGCGACTTGCATATGTTCTTCCATATAATACGGAATGCGCTTTTAACCTTTTTATTCATTGTGCTTTCACATGGGATTCTTTGTATAAACTTACTTATACATTAGTTCGACTTTTTCTGTTGAAATGTATGTTCGTTATGGTGATTCAATAAAATGTAGTTAAACTAAAGGAACTTCGAAGCTAATTCCTATCATAAAGGGCAATAACCTTCTGAACAATCGTGCAGTAAGATATTGAATTGTTTTAATGCTATAAAAAAGGACATTTGAATAAAGTTCAAGTTATTTAAAATAAAATTGTCAATATAAATTTATGCATGTAAAAAAGAATTCTTCATTTCTCTCGTGTAATATTTATCTTAATGTAGAGGAAAATTTATTCGAATAAACATTTTATCAATCTAAATATTGCATAACTTTTCAACTTTCTTCAATGTTGACAGTATAATTTCAATCGCAACCTATTTATATCGTAGTGCTATTCTTTAATAAAATGCAAGTTTATTGGAATCCAATCCAATCCAATCTTATCCAATTCATCTAATTTCATTGAAAAATTTTCATTTTTCCCTGCTAGACTTGGACCTAAGACCTCTAGCTCTAGAGTTGCCCACCTTACGTATTAGTCCACTGTCACAGTCGCTAGTGAACATTTTATATTGACTAGATATACTTTACTGAGTTGAAAACATTCATTACAACACACGAATTGACATAATGCTAATTTCTGAAACACATTTCACACATAAAAATTACTTTTCCGTGCCGAACTATAGGTTCTATCAGATAAATCACTCGGATGGCAAAGTGCATGGCGACACGGCTACGTTATAAGAGAGAGCTTTAGAAACGTTAACGTTCTTATTAAATAACAGGTCTATGTCGTCACTTGTGAAGTTGCGATGGTCCGAGAAATATTCGAATTCTTTCACCATGATGTCTCTGATCAGCTCAGGATCACGCAAAAAAACGATAGCAGTCGCCATACTCATCGTTCCGATGTACTTACCGTTCGGCTCATAATTGTAGATGAATTTGGCATAGTCGGTAAAGCTCATGTTACGACGAAGCATAACCAAAATATCCGCCAACTCGCAATTGTTCGTATGTAAGGAACATTTCTTTTATACCAATAAATGTATTGATCGTATATAAAAGTTATAGCTTTCAGCGCACAGATAGTTAGCAAAGTAGTCAATAACAGCGCTAAAGATGACGAGAGTAACAACGACGATGACGACACTCCATCGTGACCGGCACGTACGAGAACGAATGACTTCGTCGCTTGCGGCGCAACGTGTTATAAATATAGATATGTACATTCACCAACACAAATCTTATCATGCACGAGCAAAGGTGCGGACGAGGAATGCCTCTCGGATTATAACGAGTTATAGCATTATTAACATGTGTTATCTACGTAGTAAACAATCCTCTTAAAAGTGTTGTTTCAAGTGACGTAATTCCTCACCAAGCGAATTGGTCAAAATTTTGCGGTATGTTTAATTCTGACAATATTTTAATGTTTTTTCAGGGATAACAGCTCTTAATCCATTGAGTTACGACTCGATCAATCTTTTACCTTATGGCTTGCACTCGCACTTATGTGTAATAGTAATGATTAACTTAACGTCAAATTATTTGATTATGAGACGGAAATTTTAGGACGCAAATTTTACATTTCCATAGATGTAAAATTGAATTGAAACTTGAAAATAACTCAAAGAGAAAGTAAGAATAAAAGGTTGATCACCAGAGCGTGAAAAAATATAATTTATATTTTTACTTATTTTTACTTTCTTTTCTTTTATATTTGCTTTAATTTTATTTTCTTTTCCTTGATTAAATGTAATTAAAATTTTTTTAATATTATATACGAGTAAGAATATGCTCCAAATTTATATATAAAAATTAATGGAACGGAATATTCATATAAATATAAATAAAAATATTGCTCCTTTATCATTTCATTATCATTGTTCGTGATTGTTGTCATGACAGTGCAACTAAAATCTTCCTCAAGATAAAAAACAGTCTTGATATAAAAGTCAGGATATTTATTGGAAACATCATGATAAATAACAAATTAATTGCAAATAACGATGTAGATAGTCAACAGATAATTCAGGGACATTTTGCCATATAAGGGAAATGGACATTCCTTTCAGTTTTAAGATGCTACATTAGTATATTCGTATAATTTTGGCATCTACATTGTATATCACTAACTCAACCAATTTACAATTTCAGAAAACTTCGACAATTGCATTTGAGAGATCTCTATTCTTATCAAGTTTTACCTGAATGAATCATTTTCATAAAAGCCTTTGTTCGTATTCTTTTTTTTATATATAATACGAGTGAGTATTGTACATTGTAACGATGCATCCCCTTGGAGAATACTGCGACGACCGACCAACCAACTATCGGACCGCTACAGGCGCTTTGCGCGATAATAACACAGGCCAACAAAATTTGATGAAATTCCAGACCCAGAGACCAGACCTAACATACCCGAAGGATATTGATGCGCTAAATCCAAACCCAAGCTCAGAATTGCTCATATACGTCTGGTTTTCGAGATATCCTAACCTAAAAGTGGAAAAAACGCGATTTTTTGCTGTTTGTGAGGTTATGTAACGGAACAAGAAAAATATTTATCAAAAAACGTAGTGTGATAATTGAAAGTACTACCCTTTCCCTTTCAAACCTATTTGGATTTTTTCAAATATCTATTTTTTTCACCAAAGTATCGCAATTTGAAATTTCACAATTTAGGGTATTAACCCATCCACAAAAAAAATCGAAAAAATTCTGGCCGGGACCAGACTACGTTGATTTTATGTTTTTGAGGTCGCTAATTCCGAATCCGAGATCCGTTTCACCCAATCAGGTCAGAGTTTTTCGTAAAATAAAAAAACAACCCCTAAAAACCACCCTTACCAAACCACAAGCAGGCTAACCCACCTGACCGTGGGAGTAGCGAGCTTAGTCGATTATTTCTNCCTTTCAAACCTATTTGGATTTTTCAAATATCTATTTTTTTCACCAAAGTATTGCAATTTGAAATTTCACAATTTAGAGTATTAACCCATCCACAAAAAAAATCGAAAAAATTCTGGCCGAGACCAGAACACGTTGATCTTATGTTTTTGAGGTCGCTGATTCCGAATCCGAGGTGCGTTTCACCCCATCAGGTCAGGGTTTTTCGTAAACTCAAAAAACAACCCCTAAAAACCACCCCTACCAAACCACAATTAGGCTAACCCACCTGACCCTGGAAGTTGCGAGCTTAGTCGATTATTTCTTTTGAAACAAGTCCTATTTTTCTTGAAATTGGATCCCACAATACAAGCGCGTTAACCCACCGACTTCTAACCCACGTAACCCCTATCTACCTACCCCTAACCCCTAGAAACCACCCCTCCAAAACCACAAGCAGGCTAACCTAACTGACTTTGGAAACAGCAAGTTAAATCGCTTATTTTTCTTTAAACAAACAAATTCCAAACTAACAAGTTGCCACACCTACGTAAGCCAGGAAGCAGCCAGTTTGATGACTTATTTTTTTTATATAAGCAAATTCCAAACCAACAAACTCCCACAATTGCAATTTCTCTATTATGTTTATCCGTGTTAGAGATCACGCTTGAGTGGTGGGCTAACGGTAGGATGTGTAGATGATATTATTTGTTTTATGGTATATATCTATCCGTGTTAGAGATCACGTTTGAGTGGTGGGCTAACGGATACATTTCGTGTGGATCGTGGTTTTTCTACATAGTGAGTTTTGAATTTTTGTGTAGCTGTAATTAAAAGCAGAAGAATGAGTTCAAGAAATCCTTGCGCTAATAAACTTAATACGTTTTGTTATGTTTGTGGAAAGTATGAAACCGTACGTGACCGTCGATCAATTAATGACTCGATAAAATCCCTATAAATGTTATGGGACGTCGATGAAAAACTTGGATAAGCCATGGGTACCAACCTCAATTTGTAATACTTGTAGATTGCATTTGTTAAATTGGGAAAATAAAAGTACGAAGGGTCAAAGTGTTATTCAACCAACCATTTGGCATGAGCCCAAGGATCACGATACAGATTGTTACTTTTGTTTATGTCAAACAAAGGGCTTTTCTAAACAATATTTGAACAAAATCATTTACCCTAAGGTAAAGAGTGTAACACCAGCTAAAATTGGTACTTTAGGTCATTCTGAAGACAGAGTTGTCCTATCAACTCACGAATCAATGGATACTGATGAGATCGATTCAACTGAAGATGTTTATTGTGAAGACAGTGATGGTCATGAAGGTCCCAAATTTTTTGACCAAGCTAGATTAGACGATTTTATACGTGACCTTAATCTTCCAAAAGATAAAGCTGAGCTTTGTGCTTCAAGATTCAAAGAAAGGAATCTATTATTACCTGGCACTAAAGTAACGGTATACAGCAAAAAAGGAGAGCAGTTTATTAAGTACTTTTCAATAGAAAATGGGCTTGTCTATTGTAACGATATAGAAAGACTAATAAATTTATATAAAATAGATTTATATAAGCCGGAGGACTGGCG